GATAGTCTTACAACTTTCCCCCCAATTTACCTCTTATTTTGATGGTTAATATGGTCAAACACGAGCAATTTTTGAACATATTTATTATTTTCAGATCAAAGTAACCAGTGATACCTCATAGTCCTAAAATGCGGTCAACTTTATGTGGCAAAGTCATGAATGCATTTTAATCTTGTGGTCTAAAATAAGTAAGGTCTCTTTCTTGTTAATCAGTTGACCTCCACTCCATTGAAAAAACTCCATTCCTATGATGATTATATCAACAAACACATCTCAAACTGAATTGACTTACCTAACCCTCAAAGAGGCCTTGCCATAGTTGGGTGCTCCACTTGAGTGTGATTGACGAAGGTTAGGCTAGGTTCAGTAATACAAAGATAGACAACACAAATTTATAATTGTCAACATATCATAATAGGAGTAACTTTTACTCATTGTTACATCCTCTAACTATCAAGATATGCATGAATCCTTTTTAAATTTTAAGGTAGTCGCTAATTTCGTAACAATGCTGGTTGTTCGCCTTCAGTTAGAAGTACTTGTAGTAAATTGGTTGGTATTCTTCCTAACTACTTTAGTAAACATGCTTACACCCCATTCAATCTGGTGCTTTTGTCCTATACTAGCTGCTGGACTGTAGCTTGCTACTAAAAAAACGTAATAGGCTGTTGCAACTCGCTTGGCTCTTCCAACGCTACCCTTTTTACACAAACCTCACTCTGAAAATAAAATTTAATCAATAAAATACCTTTACTTTTTTTAATAAATAAGTAAACTTTGAAGATGTAACTTGCAGGTTTTTCCATCATCCAAAACCATATCAAATCGAATGAAATATATACTTTAAGAGTTAATAATATAATTAACCTAAAAAAATTTAAAAAAAAATATTGCATTTAATAAAAATAAGTGAAAATGATTATATTAAAATGGAGATGCAAGTGAATACAAATGAAAGTTGTGTTACATGCCATAGTATTTATTTGCACCATGTACGATCGAACTTGTACTGTCATACCAATATAATTGTCATTAAATTAAAGCAGGTAAAAAACAAAATCTAAATATAATATATAATCTATGAAGCACGGACACGTCCCTGAGGCTTGCGTATTAGTGTCGGACACGTGTCGGACATGGACACGCGTACGACACGCTGTTGACACGTGTCCGACACTCTCCCCTGCGTGTCTTGTAAAAATAACTGATGTATTATTATTGATTGATTGATGTATTACAAGATTGATAAATTACAATTCCTATACAATCTATATATAGAAGAAAATGTGGTAGTAGGTGTAGTGGAGGTGATAGTGGGTTAGGTGAAGTGGAGTGTGTGGTGAAGTGGAGGTAGGTGAAGTGGAGTGTGTAGTGGAGTAGGTGAAGGTAAAGATGAGAAATTCTAACAGCCCCCCGCAAACTCAAGGAGGAGAGAAACTAACCAACTTGAGTTTGGAGAGAGTAACAAAACAAGAAAATACATAAAAATAAAAAAGGATAGGAGACACTGTATGGTCGTGTCAGACCGTTGGTGAAGACACTGTATGGGGTGTCATAACGGTGTAGAGGGCACTGTATGGTGGTGTCAGACCGAGGTAGAAGACAGTTTATGGGGTCATGTCGGACCGTTGTAGAAAAACAGTTTATGGGGTCATGTCGGACCGTTGTAGAAAAACAGTTTATGGGGTCATGTCGGACCGTTGTAGAAAAACAGTTTATGGGGTCATGTCGGACCGTTGTAGAAAAACAGTTTATGGGGTCATGTCGGACCGTTGTAGAAAAACAGTTTATGGGGTCATGTCGGACCGTTGTAGAAAAACAGTTTATGGGGTCATGTCGGACCGTTGTAGAAAAACAGTTTATGGGGTCATGTCGGACCGTTGTAGAAAAACAGTTTATGGGGTCATGTCGGACCGTTGTAGAAAAACAGTTTATGGGGTCATGTCGGACCGTTGTAGAAAAACAGTTTATGGGGTCATGTCGGACCGTTGTAGAAAAACAGTTTATGGGGTCATGTCGGACCGTTGTAGAAAAACAGTTTATGGGGTCATGTCGGACCGTTGTAGAAAAACAGTTTATGGGGTCATGTCGGACCGTTGTAGAAAAACAGTTTATGGGGTCATGTCGGACCGTTGTAGAAAAACAGTTTATGGGGTCATGTCGGACCGTTGTAGAAAAACAGTTTATGGGGTCATGTCGGACCGTTGTAGAAAAACAGTTTATGGGGTCATGTCGGACCGTTGTAGAAAAACAGTTTATGGGGTCATGTCGGACCGTTGTAGAAAAACAGTTTATGGGGTCATGTCGGACCGTTGTAGAAAAACAGTTTATGGGGTCATGTCGGACCGTTGTAGAAAAACAGTTTATGGGGTCATGTCGGACCGTTGTAGAAAAACAGTTTATGGGGTCATGTCGGACCGTTGTAGAAAAACAGTTTATGGGGTCATGTCGGACCGTTGTAGAAAAACAGTTTATGGGGTCATGTCGGACCGTTGTAGAAAAACAGTTTATGGGGTCATGTCGGACCGTTGTAGAAAAACAGTTTATGGGGTCATGTCGGACCGTTGTAGAAAAACAGTTTATGGGGTCATGTCGGACCGTTGTAGAAAAACAGTTTATGGGGTCATGTCGGACCGTTGTAGAAAAACAGTTTATGGGGTCATGTCGGACCGTTGTAGAAAAACAGTTTATGGGGTCATGTCGGACCGTTGTAGAAAAACAGTTTATGGGGTCATGTCGGACCGTTGTAGAAAAACAGTTTATGGGGTCATGTCGGACCGTTGTAGAAAAACAGTTTATGGGGTCATGTCGGACCGTTGTAGAAAAACAGTTTATGGGGTCATGTCGGACCGTTGTAGAAAAACAGTTTTTTTTTTGTTTTTTGTTTGGAACGCAGAACCATGTGCGCCGGATGGGTGATAGGAAAAACATTTTGAGAGGTGGAATATAAAACAAATAAAAAAATAAAAAGAAGAGAAAGGGAAAGAAAATGATGCTCACGAATAATGGTAGATATAGAGATTATTCTTTCCTTTTTTTTTTATTTTTTATTTTTTTATTTTTTTGGTTTAAAAAAATATATAGATATTAAAATAAAAGTAAAGTGTAACGTGGGTGTGGGTGTAAAGTGAGAGAGAGAGAGAGGAGAGACAAGTGCAAATCAATGGTGTTTCGGTTGCATGTCAAAAAGAGGAAGTAAAATAATAAAAAAAAAGAAAAAGAAAGTTAAGTGGGTTTTCAAAAGATAGAGTAAAATAATAAAACAAAAAGAAAAAGAAAGTTAAGTGGGCTCTCTCTCTAAACAGTGTGTGTGTGAATGGTGTGTTGGGAAATTGTTCACCACGTGAGGTGTATGGAAATTGTTCAGCAACCGAGAGGGAACTTAATTTTCTCTAGAAAGCCTGGAATGCATACGAAAGTTGGTGGTGGAGGTTTAGTTGCGGATGTGGATCTGTAGATGGCTGAGAGACTGATGAGAGTTGAAATTGTACAGAAAAGGCTTAGATCCAGAGTAGTCTACGTCGTAGCAAGGTAGACCTTCCACCAATGAAGGAGGTTGTTGATGACCTGCACCAGAACAACTCCATCGGCGGGAGAGATGTATTGCTGCTCCTGATGATGCTGAAACAAGTATTTGTCCAACCCATCAGAATTCAATCACTTGTACAGCATGGTCCAAGCAGAGATTGAAGCAAAGACAGCAAAAGCTTCATCTAGCTGTACCAATGGTCTTCTTTGGTTAACAAGGGCCATGGACTTTCTTGTGGAATTGTTCCGCAACTTACTGGAGCATCAGGACTGGACTATGTCACAAGCTTGCAGTGATTCTTACGGAAAGACACTGACGAAATGGCATGGCTGGCTAGCCAGCTCAAGTTTTACGGTTGCCATGAAACTCGCTCCTGATAGGAAGAAATTCTTGGATGTCATAGGGGCACTGATGAGAGCCGAGAGGTAAGAGAGAGGTAAGAGAGAGGAAGATGAAGTTATAGTCTGGTATGTGTAGAGGTCCGGCGGACGGCCAAGGCGAGGCTGCCGCCCGCCGGTGAAGCTGAATGAATAGGTTCTTAACCTTGCTCTGATACCATGTAAAAATAACTGATGTATTATTATTGATTGATTGTTGTTACAAGATTGATAAATTACAATTCCTATACAATCTATATATAGAAGAAAATGTGGTAGTAGGTGTAGTGGAGGTGATAGTGGGTTAGGTGAAGTGGAGTGTGTGGTGAAGTGGAGGTAGGTGAAGTGGAGTGTGTAGTGGAGTAGGTGAAGGTAAAGATGGGAAATTCTAACACTCTTTTTTCAGAATTTTTCAGAGTCGGACACGAGGTTGGACACGCGAGGACACGATTCAGACACGCAGGTGGGTGTATCGAAGTAGCCCTAGAACTGTTGGAGAGGAGAAAAAGAGAGAGCCAGAGACAGAGACAGATCGAGGGAAGAGAGAGAGAGAGGGAGGTAGGTCGAGGGAAGAGAGAGACAGATTGAGGACAGAGAGAAGAAACCTAACCTGTTCGTCTTCCTCGTCTCCCTCTCTGCGCCTCGATCGACCATCGATCGCCCTCGTTTGACCATCGATCGACCATCGACCTCGTCTCCCTCTCTGCGCATCGTTTGACCCTCTCTACTCTCTCTCTCTCTCGCTAAAATTTTCGACGCAACAGCTATATACGTTATATACTAATAATATATATACATATATATATATATATATAATATTATAATATAACCCCTAACCTTTCTTTTGGTCTTAAATAATATAAATAAATACAAATAATATATTTATTTTTTAATTTTACATACAATAAATAAAATTAGTATATATTTTTTAATTTTGCATATAATAAATTAAATAAATAAATAAAAATAAATACAAATAGTATATATTTTTTAATTTTACATATAATATATAAATAAAATTAATTATGTATATTAAACGTGTCCCTAGCGTGTCGTGTCCCCTATTTTTTAAAAATTTGCGTTTTTACGTGTCCGTGTCGTGTCCGTGTCGTGTCGCGTGTCCGTGTCCGTGCAACATAGGGAAGAGTTATCTCTTAGTCTTAGGTCTCCAGTGGATCTATGACATTCAGTCTTCATCTATTTTGGCTTCTCAATCTCATACTGGACTGTGTGTTCATTCCATTTTTCATTCTCCAGATAAATCTCATAAAATTTCACATCCCCTCCAGCTCTAACTGTCAACACAGCAGTGCTTACAGTCCCACAGCGTCCCTATATATGTACATGAGAGAGAGAGAGAGAGAGAGAGAGAGAGAGAGAGAGAGAGTATGTTAAACATTTTCAAACATGTTGTGGATGTGAAACTTGGAAATAAAGTAAGGGGAAATTAAAAATCAGTGGAAAGACGAAAAAAAATTGCAAAATCATGGAAAAGTTTATCACTTCAATTATTAAAGTTGATGAGGTTACCACTAAATTGCAATTTAGATTTGGTCTTTCAACCGAATTGCAATTTCCCCAATAAAGTAATGATACCTACCAGTCAATGAAAATGGAGCTTAGATTTAATTCCCAATCAAGCAAAAAAAATGCCAGGCAACTTACTTTCATCAGCTTTAACTGTGTCTCTCATTAGTTTTCTACCATCTCATTCATTGGAATTTCACTTTCAGCATATTCACTACGCAGTTCCCTAAAACTCTGTTCCAAACGCTGTTCCTGAAAGGGAAAAAAAGGCATTATCGCAAGTTAATTAATCATTCACATATTGACTATTTCCATGTTTCAATGTACATCTCTCTCTCTCTCTCTTTGAATTCACATTAACATGTACACATATATGTTCTTTTACAGTAGCTATTCTTAATTTGGACCATGATCTTCTGTTCTGAAATTAATTGTCTCCTGAAAGAATCTCGAGTCAGGATTTTGAGGTAGAGGATGATCCTATGCCTTTTATTTGTATTTGTAATTAATATTTTTCCTCATGAAATGCTTTGCAATGAGTTTCAGTTTGAATAGTAGATTTGCTGTTGACCTTATGTCCCCCTCTGGCCTGTTGGAGACATAAACCAGGTCTCCAAGGAAAGATCAGCTATTATCAGGTTAAATCCATTATACTGATGTGCTTCTTCAGCCACTTCCTCTGCAAATCCTCTGAGACTCTTCGTGCTCTGCAACCACACAGTATGTTGCAGTACTATTCTATTGCTGAGAATCAATGAAATGCAGAAAGAGAAAGAGGACTTTGGTAATGGTACCTCCACGAAACGCAGCGGGAGGTCTCCTCTGCTTTTGGCATCGGGAAGGGCATGAAGCTCCATCACGTTGGTGAGGAAAGCCACTCTCACTCTTCTCAAACAAGCCAGCCATGTTCCCCCTGCAACCTCATCTCTCCCTCCTAGTATCTCACTGCCTTCCCACCACGCTGCCAGCTTTGTAGGCCTTCACAAACAACATTCAAATGAGAGAGAGAGAGAGAGAACGCAAAACTAGACTTGCCTGTTGTGGTATTCATCTCTGTTGAACAAGAGGAGAAATGGGTACAGAGGGTGAGCTTGCCAAACAAACACTGATACACACGAAGTATGCCAAGTGTAAGTCCTAACTTGCTGAGAGATTTTAGAAGTTTGGCTTTGCACAAATGATGAAATTTGAAGAACTTTTTTATTTTTATTTTTTATGATATGAAAAAAAGAGAATTGTCTGGGAAGAATGGAGAAGATTTTTATATGAACAACAGTTACTTTTTTGACTGTTTTGTTTTGGCATTAAGATTGTGTTTAGATTAACAATTTGAGAGGATTTGTGAAGTGAAAAGAAAAAAGAAAGGGAAATTTTCATAAATCTCTCGTTATATCCTTAATTTAAATACAATCTAAACTAATGACTGCATGATCATGGAGTTTAGAAATCACCATGATCAATCCCGATCAAAGATTGTGAATATAAAGAATTCTACCACAAACACATAATAATTTCGTAGTATTGTTCACAAATGAGATACAAAAAGTAGGACTCACCTTTTGTGAGACCCACAAGTGGGACTCATTTCTTGTCTCATTGTGAACAATTTTGTGAAATTGTTCCATGTTTTCTCCAATATAAATAGACACAAGCCTTTGGGACTATGATTGTATTTAGTTTAGGAATTTATGAAGTGAAAATAACAGAATTTTTATTTTTTTATTTTTATAAATCTCTGATCAAATCCTTAATTTAAACACAATTTAAATTAATGATTTGTGGAATCATGTGGTTTGAATATCACCATGTCATAATCCGTAAGAATAATAATGCTATTCTAACTCAAAAGTTCGATTCATTTTTCAAACTCAATAATGTAGTAGCATATTAGAATATTTAAAATAATTTTCTTTCTCATATTTTCTCTAATAATTAGTTAATTATCTCTTTTGTGCATCATTGAGTTTCTTTTTCAAAAAATAGATCTAGAAAGTGAGTTTTTATATCATTGTTCTCTAATCAGGTGCCTTCATACTTTATTTGGTGGATTCCATATCAGGCCCACAATGATAATTCTACCGTTCATCTAAAATGCCTAACAGTAAAGATGAGTTGTGCAAAATATCAATTTCATTGGATATCACTAGATGCATAAACAAATTTTATTATTTTAAAATGGATGACAACTATAAATTTAAACTTAAATTGTCTATTTTATATAATAAAATTTGATTTATTCTTCTATTTATCAATATTCAATAAAGTTAATTTCTTACATAAACCGTCTTTATTGCAAAATTTATAAGATAAGCAGTTTAAATTTTCATTGTGAATCCTAAGTGAGATTAACAAAATAAAGTATGGAGACATATGAAAGGTAATAGTATAGAGGGGAATCATTCTCTTGCAAAATATACATTTAAAAAAAAAAAATTAGAAATTCTATGTGTTTGGTAACGTTTACGTTTTCAGTTTATATTTACAAAAATTTTATAAACTAGTTTTTGTTTATTTTTTGTTTATTTTTAGAAAAACATAAACTACAAACGGGTTTGGTAATTGACAAAATATTTAAAAAAATTTAAAAATATAAAAAAGAGTGAGAAATGGGAAGTGGTGGTAAGTGGCGGCAGAAGACAGTGGTGGAAAGTATTAGGTAATCTTGCTG